CTCACTCACTCACTCACTCACTCACTCACTCACTCACTCACTCACTCACTCACTCACTCACTCACTCACGCACGCACGCATCCATCTTTCCACCTAATACAGATGATGTCTCTCTTCTTTCTTGAAATTTGTCTTCACATTTTTCACTTTAAGAAATACCCAAAATTGGCAGAAAGGAAGAAAATAAAATATGAAGATAGCTCTTTCATCTCTTGAATCTGGTTGCTTCACAGGAATCACATAGACAAAAATATGGGTATTAAGCATAAGTAAGCTACTGCTATGCTGGGTGTCTGGCATGTAGGTGCACGCGAACACTCATGTGCAGTGACAAGACTCTATGCCTCCCCTCTGCAATGTTATTTTACATAAGCATTTTTTGCTTTTTTGCCATTTTCCAACGTCCATATTTGTATTTTGATTTGCTTTATCTAGATAGCAATAGATTACTTTCCTTGCATAAATTCAATTTCATCTCTCTCTATATGGTACGTCATTTTAATTTTTTTTTCTTAATATTCAATTTTCTGTAATACAACCTGCAGTGCCTGTCATGGTAGCCAGGAATAGTATGCTGAGCATGGAAATGGCGGCCTCCCTGAAGCTGGAGCTCTTTCCGTCATTGGTCATGGACATTACATTCCACACCTGTTTATTGATAGGAATAATGCAAACGCCCCTTTCTAAATGTCAAATTAGTCTAATTACCCTCCAAAAGACTTGTGCACTCATGGGGAGTCTTTTCCTTCAAATTATCCTTCACACTCATGATACCAAGTTCACATCACCCAGCCCGCAGTCATTTTCCTATGAAGGCAAAACTGCCCAAAAAAAACTAGATCGAAAAGGTTAAAAGACAGGAGTTTGTAAAGATTGAAGTAATAGATGATTAGAAAAAATTAAAGATGACGAAGGAAAAGGATAATAAGAAAAAAAAAAGAGCAGAAAAAACTGGAAAAAAGTAGTGAAAATATAAAAGAAATGAAAGAAAAAGGAGAGAAAGTACTACTGTTACCATTAACATCATTAATAGTAGTAATAGAAGAAGAAGAGGAAGAGAAGGAAGAACATACGGAAAAGGAGAATGAGGAGGAAAAGAAAGAGGAGGAAATGATAAAGAAAAAGGAAAAGCAACAAAAGGAGATAATAAAGAAAAAAGAGAGAAGCTGTATGAAAAAAAAAATAAAATTGTCAAAAGTCTAACAAACTTGAACATTCTTTTACCTGCTTTTTCTTCCTTGTGCACATTTTAAGGCAGGAAATTGCTTCAGCATCTATTTTACATTTTATTAACAAAAAACATAATTTTCCAAAATACAAAGGCTGCTTTCTT